AGGCAAAATAGAGAGTCCAGTACCCTTTATGTCCTCTAGAGGTTATTCCTGGCCCTCATTCCTGGCCCTTATTTTATAAACAGGCCCACTAATTTTATTTGGCAGGAAATTAATTCTATCAAACTCAGTACTCAGTGGTCAATATAACTCTGACCCCAATAATGACCCAAAAGAGTCAATGATTTGACTCATGTGGGGAATGGAAGCAACCATTTTATAAAAACAAAAAAACAAAAACCTGCTGTTTGAAACTTTAACCCTGCTATTTTGGCTTCTGTAAACACTTGCTTGCTTAAATAACAAGAAAAATAAGACTACTCCCATTCCAGAGAGACCATAAACCTTCCTCAGATGAAGTTATCAGTGCTAGTGCCAGGCCAAGCCTTTGGTTGAGGTCTCAAAACCCCAGCACATAGGGCTCTTTAAGAACTTGCAAACGGGACTGGAAAAATCCCTTATTTGGGAGACAAAGAGCTAGAAAAAGTATAAATAGGGAAGCTTCCTCCATGTTTCTTTACCCAGAATTTGCAAGGCATTTTTTCTCTGGACCTACGCTTAATAATAATAAAATGTGATTCCATTTCTCTAAGCATTGCTTGGTTTTTCTCCAGTTTTCTGCAACAGTAAGACCTGGATAAATGTATATACAAAACCCCAATTTGCCATGCTTTTTAGTGGTAGTTTAAAAATTGCTTCTTAGTTTGGAGAATACAGGACTGGTCAAAATTGGCTTTTGACTGTCTTCTATTTTTCTTATTTTGTCTTACTGTCTTATTTTATGTCTTATCTGATAAGAAAGCCAGTCTCTCATTTCCACATCTTTTAGTAGATCAAAATTAATGCAACGCATCCTAAAATTCAGCCCTTCAGATGCATTTGCTAAAGTCCTCCAATAAACTGCAAATAATTCACACCACTGAAGAAACAAACCCCACTTGCTTCCTTGGGCAGATGCCATATATCAAGAGGTTTACATAAAGACAAAGTTTTATATATCTCTCTCTGCCCATTTAATAAGTGATCTGGTTTAGAGATGATGTTTTTATATCTCTAGAACATATCAATGCCAATATTTTAGTACCTGGACAGTCTGTTCCTATTAGCTTCTGAACATCTATAATAAGGTAATTGGGAGGCCTGGTCTAGTGTTGTGTGTTGCTTTTAATAATATTCAAAATTCTGAAGGAAATTTTCTGGTTTTATGACATACTAGAAGGAGACTAGAAAAATTTATCCTGAAACTATTATTGCTAACTCATTTGCCTCCCATGAAGTGGTTTGTGCTTGGTGCAATTGGCCTTTTCATGTATTTTTCATTCTCTTTCTTTTCTACTTACGGCACATACTTTCAGGCCTCATTTGTGTATTTCTGGACATGACTCTGGATATTTTTCTTTTTAAAGAATTTCTTATTGTTTAAAATATTACACATGTCTGCTTTTTTCCCTCATTGACCTCTTGCCAGCCATTCCCACTTCCCAGCACATGCTCTCATTTCCCTACACTCTGTGTCCATATGTTATGCTTATATTCATGCAAACTACTCCTTTGGTTGTTTTCTTAACCTTCCCTCTACCTTTCCTCTAAGGTTGGACAGTCTGTTCGATGCTTCTATGTCTCTGGATCTATCTTTGTTCATTAGTTTATGTTCATTATATTCCACAAATAAATGAGATCATGTGATATTTATCTTTGACCGGCTTATTTTGCTTAGAATAATATTCTACAGGTCCATCTATGCTGTTGCAGATGGTAAGAGTTCCTTCATTTTTAGAGAAACATAATATTCCACTGCTTTATGTGCCACCGTTTTTTAATCCATTCATCTGCTGATGGGCACTTAGGCTGTTTTCAAACCTTAGCTATTGTAAATTGTGCTGCTATGAATACAGGGGTGCACATATTCTTTCTGATTGGTGTTTCTGGTTTCTTGTGATATATTTCTAGAAGTGAGATTACTGGGTCAAATGGCAGTTCCATTTTTAGTTTTTTGAGGAAACTCCATACTGTTTTCCATAGTGCTTGCACCAGTCTGCATTCCCACTAGCAGTGCACGAGGGTTTCTTTTTTTTTTTTTTTAATTTATTGATTAAGGTATCACATATTTGTCCTCATCCCCCTATTCCCATCCCAAACCCCTCCCCATGCATGCCCCCACTCGCTGTTGTCTGTGATCACTCATGTGGCTCATATGCATGCACACAAGTCCTTTGGTTGATCTCTGCCCTTATTCCCACCCTCCCCTACATTCCCTCTGAGGTCCGACAATCTGATCTATGCTTTCTTGTCTCTGGGTCTGTTCTTGTTCATCAGTCTATGTTGTTCATGATTTCCTCTATATGAGTGAGATTATGTGCTACTAGAAATACACTTATAAGAACCGAAAATGAGACAAACAATAATGGTTATGCTGAGAGGCAAATGAATGAGTCTGTAGTGAGTTTCTTTCTGGGTCAACAGTTCTTTTGAGTATCAATTTCAATGTCAAATAGTTCCTTATGTGTACATGTCAGCAATGATATTTTAGTTCTGGGTGGTGGACAAATGGTGGTAATGCAGGTGTGACCCTCTCTAGTTTGGTCATGGGCAACCTGCAGTGACGCACAGCTGCTAACTGCTAGTATGACAAGGCATCATCAGCATCTTACATCTCTGGACTGTTTATCATCTGTCTTCATGGCTGGAGTAGTCCTGTCAATTCTTCTCTGTTGCAGGAATCCACATGGTCTTGGAGTTGTTTTCTAAAAATATACAAACATATTCTCCACTAAAAGTTAATAAAGGAATATTTTCTATAAATTTGACTTGCGATCCTTTTTCATTTAAAAAAAATATATATTTTATTGATTTTTTACAGAGAGGAAGGGAGAGAGAGAGAGAACTAGAAACATCAATGAGAGAGAAACATCGACCAGCTGCCTCCTGCACACCCCCTACCGGGGATATGCTCGCAGCCAACGTACATGCCCTTGACCGGAATCGAACCCGGGACCCTTCAGTCCGCAGACCGACGCTCTACCGCTGAGCCAAGCTGGTCTCGGCCCTTTTTCATATTTTGCCCAAAAGATTTTCCTTTGGCTTGTTTTGACACCGTGTTTTTTTTTTTTTTTTTTTTTTTAAATATATTTTATTGATTTTTTACAGAGAGGAGGAGATAGGGATAGAGAGCTAGAAACGTCGATGAGAGAGAAACATCGACCAGCTGCCTTTTGCACTCCCCCTACCGGGGATGTGCCCGCAGCCAATGTACATGCCCTTGACTGGAATCGAACCTGGGACCCTTCAGTCCGCAGACTGAAGGTTTGGCTCTACCGCTGAGCCAAACCGGTTTCGGCGACACCGTGTGTTTTTCATGGGTGTCTTCCTGATAGCATTACAAATGAAAGTTAATTTTCTAAAGTAAAAATTTTCTAGATGTAATTTATTTCCAGGATATTTTTCTTTACATGATATTCTTCTACTTAGCCCCCCTTTTTATTTAAATATTAGGAGGCTTTTGGAAATTTTACAATGTAGTCTTGATAGCTTTTAAATTTTAATTTTTGCATTAAAATATGACTGCTTTAGGTTCATTACATGTTACACAATTTTACCCTGAGATGAACTATGAATACAAATTTTAGTTAACACTTTAGGAACAGCTTTTTGTCCAGTACAATTAATGTTTCTAGAATATTTGTTCATTTCAATTAGCCAATTTAAATTAGCCTAAAAACTTGACTACTACTTTACTGTCAAATTTAATACTCTATCAACAATCTTATTTTACCTTGTAAATATTTGTGGAAAGGATTATTTGCATTCTTGAGTAGTACCGGAGCATTCCTGGTGCTAGCCTGGATTTAGATATCAAAAACCCACTTCCCTACACCATGGAAAGACAAGTCTTGTTGCAGTGAGAGGGCAGCTGTTGTCAGCCAAGTCTCCACAAATAAGTGAGATCATGTGATATTTATTTTTCTCTGACTGGCTTATTTTGCTTAGAATAATATTCTACAGGTCCATCTATGTTGTTGCAGGTGGTAAGAATTCCTTCATTTTTGGAGTAGCATACTATTCCACTGTTTAGATATACCACCGTTTTTTAATCCTGTTACCTGGGTCCTGATTTGAGCTGGGCATGGGAAGCTAAGCAGCCATGAGGGCAGGATACCTCCCTCAGAAGGAGTGAGGGTTCAGGCCCCTGCAATGTTGGCAGTGAGGGTCTGTGCCCCACCTCTCTTGACCCCCAAGTTCTCTCCTGATGGCCCCTCTGCGACTGTGCCTGTCTTATGTTGTTCCTTCCCTGAGGAATCTTACCCATCTTTGGCTAACCAGCCATCCTCCGGGGCCAAGCAGAGTGATGTGAGTTTCAGTTCTGTCTCCTTGGTAGGCTATGCCCTCGTGGCCTCCACACCCAGCACCTGCTTTGGGATCAACTCACCTGCTGGAGGGGCCCCAGCACTGATCACATATCTTGGGGAACCCAGATTTCTTCTCCAGGGAGGGCCCAGCTCACCCCATTGGGTGAGAGATAGATCCAGGGTACCAGCCATCATGGAGCTTCAACATTTGCATGAAGAGAAAGCTCAGGCAACAGCTGTGGGCAATTGGATTATGAGAAGAGGGTCCCTGTTGGCTAAAAGGGCAAGAGGGGCCAATATAGAATGCTTGGGTGCCTTTCAAGGGGACCAAGTGCATGAGGGTTTCTTTTTCTCTACATTCTCACCAGCACTTGTAGTTCGTTGATTTATTTGAATATGTTCCAATTAAAATATCTGATCATACTATTGGTAAAATTACAGAGAAATGCCTTCAATATTCCTGCTCTCATTTCCTCTCAAAGGATTTGATTTTAAGAGATCAACATAGGAAAATGACAGCAACAAAACCCAGACTTGGCACACTGGTTAATATTTTGCAGTATGGTGTATTACAAAGAAATGCTCTAGTAATAAGGAATCTTGTACTGATTTTGCTAAACTAAAAATTGTTTTGTTTGTTTTTTCCTTTTTCTTTAGGTACACAATGCTAGTGACTTGCTGATCAAACCCCTGGAAAGTTTTCGGAAGGAGCAAATAGGCTTCACCAAGGTACATTTGCTTTATACATACATAACATGTATTTTTTTTTTTTTAACAGAACTTGAATAGTTGTTAGGCAACCACTTTTCAGTTTTCTGGGGTGAGAAGGGTTTATCTCGATAAGAAAACTCATGATCAAAACATGGGAAAATTAGCTTCTGGCTATGCCTTCAACTAGTTATGTATCTCTGGACAAGACACTTCTCCTTTGGGAGTTTTATGTTCTCCATCTGGCAAATGAGTTTGATAATAATAGCTATTGTTTAAAGACTACTTATCCTGCCTGCTGTGGCTCAATGGTTGACCATCGACCTATGAACCAAGTAGGTCATGATTCCCAGTCAGGGCACATGCCCAGGTTGCGGTCTTGATCCCCAGTAGGGGGCATGCAGGAGGCAGCTGATGGATGATTTTCTCTCATTTTGAGGTTTCTATCTCTCTCTCCTTTCCTCTCTGAAATTAATAAAAAAATTATTTTTTAAAAGTGAAGACTACTTATGTACTGAGCACTAGGCTATATGCTTTATATTAATTTTCTAATTACAACAGACCTGTGAGATTCTTGTATTATCAGCAAACACATCTGAGGGTCTAAATTTTAGGACACATTTACAAATGAGGCCTAAGATTTGGACAAGGGAAAGAACATGACTAAAGTTATATAGTTAGTAAGTGACAGGTAGCCAGGATTTAGATCTAATGATCTTTTTAGCTTCAAATCTCTCATTCCATTAAGCCATAATATCCAGATTTGTGCTGTTCAATATAGTTGCTGATAGCTGTGCAAATATAATAAATTAACAAATCAGTTGCTCAGTAATACCAGTCATATTTCAAGTGCTCAATCGGCATATGTGGTTAGTAACCACTATATTGGACAGCACAAATATAGAACATTTCCTTCAACGTAGAAATTTCAGTTGGACAGCTTTATGCCAGTTAATCTCAGCTTGAGTAGTTACAGAATACTGATTTCCCAGTTTCTCATAAAGGGGTATGAATAATCATGAAATTTATTCTTATCAGCTAAGTGTAGGCCTATTTTGTGAGCTACAATATGTATGCACCATGTAATCAAGAGTGTCTACCAGAACTAAATGTAGCAACTTGACCAAGCGTCTGGCCATTTTAATAGTAAGAACACAGCATTCAGTGGTTATTATCTGGAATATACATGACAAACAGTTTGGATAGGAAAGTAGCAAGTTATGAGAAGAAATAGCAGACTAGTAGAAGTGCTCCCATTGCTTGATGTCATCATTCAAATTGACATGGACATTATTTGAGTGATTGGCATTCAAGCAAAGCCAGTTCTCTGGACAGCACAGCAATTCTGGATTCCACTTATGTGAAGTCTTATTAACTTAAATACTTAATTGGACAAGTATATAATAGGAGAGAAGAATCTTTACAATCACAAGTGTGGTATGAAAATAATTAACTACTTGCTAATTGATTTGATAATTGTTACACAATACTGAATAAAAAGGATGAAGGATAGATGACATCAAAATCTTTACACATGGTTTCCATTCATTCCTGGATGGGAATAGGAAAAAGGAAAGGAAGAATTTGCTGCAGTGGTTGACCTCATGTCACCTGAGGGGAAGGAAATGAATTTCTATTATATACTTCCTATGTCACAGGCCTGGGCTGAGTATCTTACATACATTGCCTTCCTTAATTATTACAGTAAACCTGTAGGATGTATAATATCCATTATCCCAATGAAGAAACTGAGACTCGGGAAGGTTAAATTCCTATCATTTTTTTTTCTTTACTTTATCAGTGGAACCAACCTGTACCCTTACAAGGAAAGTGATCAACATTTGGTGTGAGAGTCATTTTCAAGAAACCATATAAAATTTAAGGTAGCAGACAGAGCCCTGCAATTAGGACAAGAAAGTGTAGCCTCCATTCTACCTCTCTGTTTTATTAATTTATTGTCTCAGTTTGAACACTCCGCAATACCTGTTGTGTGAAAGTGGACAGAATTCCTTTGAACATCTCTCCTTTACAGTGCATAAGATGTTAAGTTTTCTCGGCAGAGGGTGCTAGGGGGACATTGTTGGAGGAAGAGTACTCCTAAAGTTTCTGGCTGTTGCACAGATGTGCCAGTAGAGTGGGAGTGAGATATTTGGTGTGACTCTGGTTGTGCCACACACCTGGAATACATGGTCCCTCAGTAATTTCAAAGCCTCCGCCTGGCCTGGTGATAATCTTTTTGCAGGTCTCTCCCTGAAGGGCTCCCCACCCATGCTTTCCCCCACCTTTCCTCTTTAGGTCCCCTATGTGACATATCTACTGAATAAAGGCTTATGAAAGAGCTTATACTCCATGCTTCCTTTGCCAGCCCTCATAAGCCTAGTTGTACCTTTAAGATGTTCCCACTGAAGCAGGCTGGCCCTACAAAGCTCACTTAAGTCTAGGAATTTTCCCCATACTCTCTGTATACCTTTTCCACTGGCTGCTAGTTGTCTTTTCCCCATCTGTATTCTGGAGAGTTACCTCCTTCTTACTTAGTTACTGCAGACCATTAGGCTAAGCTAACTAACTTCTCTGCTATTCAGTGGCTTAAATTATTTACCTTTTTCAGTGAGATCTAAACCCATTCCAAATTCATTCTCCCTGGGGTACCTTTCCTCAGCCTGTGGTACTGTACAGAGTTAGTTTCCTTATATCTTGTATTTCCTTTTTTTTTAAGTTTGGTAAATTTATAGTTTATGAATTCTTTATAGTGATTTCTATCTCTTTTATTGGGCCCAGATTGATAAACCCAGCATTGCTGGGAGATGGCTCCTCTGACTTTTTTGATGGTAGTATGTGCTTTGTAGGACATTACAAATATAGATGTATATTCTCATTTAAACCCAGAGAAGTCTTGTACAGTAGAGGTTATTATACCATGTTTATAAACGAAGACACCAAGATTCAGTGAGATGTAATGTCTGAAGCACTCAACCAGGAAGAGGCAGAGGTTGGATTTTATTTTATTTTATTTATTATTATTTTTTAAAATAAATCTTTATTCATATTATTACAAATGTTCCTCATTTTTTCACCCTCCATTGTTCCCCTCCGCCAGGTTCCCACCCCACCCTCTGCCCTTTCCCCACCGCCCATTGTCCTCATCCATAGATGCACAGTTTATGTTCAGTCTCTTCCCGCACCCACCACTTCCCCTTTCCCTGAGAATTGTCAGTTCACTCCCCTTCTATACCTCTGATTCTATTATATTCACCAGTTAATGTTGTTCATCAAATTTTTTAATTCCCTTGGTTTTTAGATTCACTTGTTGATAGTTATGTATTTGTTGTCCATAATTTTTATCTTTATTTTATTCCTCTTCCTAAAGAACCCTCTTCAGCAATTCATATAATTCTGATTTGAATTCCTTTAGCTTTTTTAAAATTTTATTTGTGAAGCTCTTTATCTGGTCTTCGATTCTGAGTGATAGCTTTGCTGGGTAGAGTATTTTTGGCTGTAGGTTCTTGCTATTCATTACCTTGAATATTTCTTGCCGTTCCCGTCTGGCCTGCATGGTTTCTGGTGAGAAATCAGCTGATAATCGTATGGGTGCTCCTTTATAGGTAACTACCTGCTTTGCTCTTGCTGCTTTTAATATTCTCTCTTGTCTTTTGCTCTTGGCATTTTAATTATGATGTATCTTGGTGTGGTCCTCTTTGGATTCCTTTTGTTTGGGGTTCTGTGCGCTTCCTGGACTTGTAAGTCTAATTCTTTCCCCAGGTGGGTGAAGTTTTCTGTCACTACTTCTTTCAGTATGTTTTCGGTATTATGCTCTCTCTCTTCTTCTGGGAACCCCATAATTCTGATGTTTGTTCGCTTGAAGCTGTCCCAGAGGTTTCTTTCTTTTTTAAAAAAAATATATATTTTATTGATTTTTTACAGAGAGGAAGGGAAAGAGATAGAGAGCTAGAAACGTCGATGAGAGAGAAACATCGACCAGCTGCCTCCCACACACCCCCCACTGGGGTTGTGCCCACAACCAATGTACATGCCCTTGACCGGAATCGAACCCGGGACCTTTCAGTCCGCAGACCGACGCTCTACCGCTGAGCCAAACCAGTTTCGGCTGTCCCAGAGGTTTCTTACATTATCTTCAACTTTCTGGATTCTCTTGTCTTCTTGCTTATGTGGAGGACTGTCTTCTGGTTCTTCATGTTCCAAATCTTTGACTTGATTCTTGCGATCTTCCATTCTGTTTTTAGGACTCTGTATAATATTTTTTATTTCAGACAATGTATTCTTTATTTCTAGTTGATCCCTTATCATATTCTCATAGGTCTTGTTTATTTTATCGGCCTTTTCTAGGAAATTCTTGAAAAACCTTATAAGCGTGGTTTTGAACTCTATATCCAGTTGCTTTTTGTCCTCCATTTATTTCGTTTGTGATCTGTTTCCTTGTCTTGGCATTTTCGCTGCTTCCCTGAGTTGGTAGGGTGGCTTTGTGTGCTAAGGTGTCCTATATGGTTCAGTGGGTCAGTCTCCCAGTTAGCTGAGGTGGACACTCTTGGTGCCCCCTTTTGTGGACTGTGTGTACAGCCTTGTTGTAGTTAAGTCTTGATTGTTGTTGGTATCACTGGGAGGAAGTGACCTCCAGGCCTATTGGCTGTGAGGATCAGCTGTGTCTATGCCAAGAGACAGCCTTATTCGACTAGACTTGGAAAATTATAAAAGCCTATGTGCTCAGCTTGGATAGGGAGGAGTTTCAGGATGGAGTCTACAGCTTTGGCTTCTTGTTAGCCTCGCCCTATGAGGTTCCTGAGTCTCAGTGTTCCTCAGTGTCCTTCAGTACTCGCTGCAAGTACCTCTGAGAGAAAGGTGCCCTCGAGTTTCGCCCACTACCAAAAAGTCTAGGCTCTTGCCCAATGAGCCTGGAACTGGGGTTCAATGAGGTTGGAAGTGAGGTTCAGAACAGTCTGGAGCTTTTGTCTCCTTCCCGCTAGGGCAATCCTGCAGCTCAGTCAACACTCCCTTCTCTCCGGGAC